CTAATTTTTTCTCTATATTTTTAGCTGTCCAATTAATTTCTTTCTATTTTTAGTAGAGACGGGGGTCTCGCTCTTGCTCAGGCTGGTCTTGAACCCCTGAGCTCAAACAATCCGCCCACCTCGGCCTCCCAGAGAGCTAGGATTACAGGCGTGAGCCACCGCGCCCGGCCTATTTAAACTTTTTAAAAAGATTTTTAACTGCTGAAATTCTAGCAAAATAAGTGAAAAAGAGGAAAATGTAACTGAATAATATATTCAAAAATATAGATAGATGCATAGATAATAGATACACACAAAACTAGATGAAACTAATTCTATTGTTAACAGTTATATCTCAGTGATGAAATATCAGAGAATTTTTATTTGCCATTGTAAAATGTAACTGCCATGAACATATATTTCACTCTAAAAAGTTTTTTTGTTTTTTTAGAGAACAGCCTTCTCAAACTTGCTTTTTGCTGACTATTTAAAGCTATTTTGCTAAGCAAGGATGAGTAGAGAAAACTAAAGCTGACCTTTCAACTCTTAATCCCCACATTTTATTACTGTTTTTTTTAATTTTTTTTATTTCAGTGTATTATGGGCATAAAAATGTTTAGGTTACATAGATTGCCTTTGCCCCACCCGAGTCAGAGCTTCAAGCATGTCCATCCCCCAGATGGTGCACATTGCACCCATTAGGTGTGTATATACCCACCCCCACCCTCCCACCTGCCCGACACCCGATGAATGTTATTACTATATGTGCACTTAAGTGTTAATACAAAATGTAATTTGATTTACTTCAATTGTTAGAGGAAAATATTCAGGAAGTGGAAGATAAAAAAAGACTCTGCCAGAAAATGGTAATAGGAATGGTAACAGCAGTAGTAATAAAGTAGGAATTACTGAGGGGATATAAAAAGTTTCTCTTGCCAAAAGGTGTGAAGAGCACCGCCCTGCAACTACAGGAAGAACTGAGAGCAAAACCAATTTTCTGTACTTTTAGTCTATTATTCTAGTAACAGTTTTAATGATGGTTCTACCAAATATAATAAATTAGAAGCTAGTGGAAATAATCGAAATCGTATAGGGCCACCAGGTGTGGCTGTGCAGGGTGTGTACTGCACAGAGTGACCAGCTGAGGACACAGTAGGTGGAGGCTGAAATCCTCCCAAGTCCTGCACCCTACAACTGCATCCTCTTGGAGGAAGAAGA